GAACAAGCATTGCCTCCTTCCAATCTAAATGTAAAGCTCACTGCTTCACCCTCACTCTTCTGCTAAGCAGCACATAGTATACCAGTATTTGCTTCAATAGTTAAAGCATGCATAATTTTCTTTCCGGGCCAAAAATGGAAAAGAAAATTCAAATGAGATGCTAGTGTATTTGTTTTACCATGGAAAGTGATCAGATCACAGTGATGGCCTGGTTTAAAACCATAAATAGAAAATTTAAAAAAACTGAAGGTAGCAATTTACAATAAATCTAAATTTGCAAATGTCTCATTCTTGGCACATACACAGAGGCCTCTGCTCTATTGTCCTCATTTTGGGAGGGTGAATCCTCACTTGAATTTGGCTACGGAGATAATGGGAGGTGCAAATCAATGGTAAACCCTCTACTTTGACTACTTTGTTCATTTTTGGATACTTAATCTCCAGAAAAAATATACCAGAAGTATAACAGATTCAGAAATGGGGGACAGTTACTAGAGGTATGGAAAATTCCAGGATATTTTTAGATTGTGAAATTAGTTTAAAGAGGAAATGAATGAGGTGACATAAGAGATAAGAATGCTACCCGATTGACTTTCTCTAGCACTTATTTATCTTCTCATAGCACAAGAATAAGGAGATGAATGAAAATTAAATGAATGAATTTTTTTTTATTTAAACACAACATGTGGCATTTGCTGCCATAAAATGGCTATAAGTTACAGAGGCAAAGTCTTGGGCTGCATTAATTCTTCAGTAGCCATCTCTGCTTGGAGAATTATCTTTAAAGAGGATAGTGGTGTTTTGGGGAAATCCCTGTGGAGCTGTGCTGGCCAGGGAGATGGTCAGAGCAAAAGAGTCCTGGCATCCAGGAGATTGGCTTAGTTTGGGATTAAACTATTTACTCATTGGGAAAACTGCATTTTCTCCTACCTTAAATTAATTATTTGGAGAAAGCTCAAGGATCTGATTTTCCTTGGATATATTTATTTTTACCATAGTGAAATCCTCCAGATCCCCTCTGACACTTATTTCTAGAGAAAGGGGGATGGTCCAGTCCAAGTTCTGGAAGATTAAGGACAGGAAACAGAAGAATGAGTTTCCCAGGAGGAGAACCTTGAGAATAGAAAAGATTATTCTCCTCAAATAGATGAGCAACCAGTTTTAATTGTGGCAAGCACATTAAAAAAATCATAAGGAAGAAAAAAAAGCAGATGGTGAGCATGCCACAGTAACAGAAGTAGAACAAGATAGTAATTTTGTCCTTGGAGTTTTTTCATAAGGGCACTTTTGCACAAGGAAACGTTCAGATCACCAGTCCATTTCATATAGGTAACTAAATAGTATCAGATCTGGAGTTGAAAACTGGAAATAAGACTGCATATCTTACTTCCAGTACATTAACTTGGATATCAACAACTGTGTGTATTAACTTTAAAAATAAATGATCTGAAATTCCTTTTACTCCCACTTAATCCTGAGTGAAGTATATGCAAAGGAACATCTGATTTTGTGTGGTAACTGGATGATAGCTGGTTTAAGTAAAGATGGTGCTTTTACTCCATTTTATCGGCCTTTTCGTCATTACTTCAATTTCACAGCAAGGATACAATTGCAGAGTATTTCTCCAATCCATCTTTGAAGTCATGGGGTCTACTCTATCAAAGGGATGATGTGGGGAAGACCTGACAAGCCATTGGGCAAAGCTTGAATAATAAATATTAATATTATTTGAACATTTCTTCTAGAAGTCTGGTTGGCAAAAGTTATCCTAAAGACATTTTTTGTTTTAGAACTATTAGCTTGTTTTAAAAAAGTTTGACTTTTCCACAATAAACTGCAAATTAGTGTTTCTACATCGCTGCAGAACTGGTGTTTACATTTGAACAATGTTATGAACTATGTTCAAATGTAAAATGCTGTCTTAATGCACGTGACTGCCTGATCCATTGTGTTCTTCAAATACAGCAGCTTCAAATGAAGCTATTTCTATGAATTTGCAAAAGGAAGGATTATAAATTGGTCATTTTGTTCTTCTGGAAGGCCTCCTTGTCTCCAACTATATAAATTTACATATGAAGTACTAATGGCAAATACTCGTGTGTTCTGCATGCAAAATGTGTGTAATGTTTTAAGGCCTATTTTAATTAGGGTAGCTAGTTTTTAATTTTCCTAAACATGCTGTGGTTGTTTAGTGTCCCATTCTAACAAAGAATGAAACAATGAAGTAATTAAGACTGATACATTTTTTTTTTTTAAAAACAAAACAAAAAACCAAACAAATGCAAACTCTGGTTCCAATCAGGGCATCAAAACTCTCTCTCAAATTCTGTATAATAACTTTTGGCCTGATCTTCAAAGTTGTTGATTAACACCTGAAGTTTACATTCATTTGCTGGAATTTGAGGGCACCCACCTTTTTATTGCTGTTCCTTTTATGAGCACCTTGAATTCTTAAGGGTTTAGATTTCTGGACCCAAACCTTTACTTTAGGGAGCAAAATCATATAGAACCTATGCTCAGTCACTTTAAGTGCCTTATATCCAATTAAAAATGCTTTGCAAGATATAAAAATATTATATCTGATCTCCATCTACTCATCTCCTGTTGGGTTTGTTCCTCTTTTCTGTTCTTCCTCCCCACTACTTTCCAGAGTTAAGCTTTTACTTGTCTTTGTCCCCAGTCTGAACTATTGAATCCCTTCCTCTTAAGTTGTTTCCACAAAGCCTTCTTTCAGCTTGCCTTATTATTAACTCAGAAGTAAATTCTATGTATGAAGAATATTGTATGCGAATTGTGATGTTTCAGATACTGAAGGAAACTATACATAATGGCTGTACTTATGTGTAGGAAGAATAATTGCTTAGAACACACTTAATGAATGTCAGGACTAGTTAGAAGAATACCTTGTCTCAAATGATCTCTTGTGAAGCTTATTTTGTACTATCACTTTTGAATATTCACTTTCCAAAATAGAAGAAGCAGAAGTCTTCACTTTTTATTTAAAAATATGAAACATACAAAATAACAAGTAGTGGCCTAGAGCATTGAATACATAGTATTCACCATTCGGGGCATGAGTTCCCACCACTCTCCCATCCATGAGGGTTTGCGGGAGGAAGAAATTCTCAAGACCAAGCCAGCCTTGGAGTCACTCATCCATTTTGAGTTGGTAGCAGCAGCCCTCAGTCCCCTGTACATTCATTACTTTTTTTTCTGAAGTTTTACTGGGGAAATGTCAGTGACAAGCTGTTTGCTCCAAGCTAGGGTTACCATATTTCAACAATCAAAAAAGAGGACGGGAGGAGCCATGCCCTAGCCCCGCCCCTGTCCTGCCCTAGCCCCGCCCCTGCCCCTTCCACTCCCTCCCACTTTCTGCCCCCTCAGAACCCCCAACCCTCCCCCCCACGCCTTGTCCCCTGACTGCCCCCTCCTGGGACCCCTGCCCCTAACTGCCCCCCCAGGACTCC